GAATCTCAAATTGGTGCTTCCTAGCAACACAAAAGCTCTTTTCCTTGCTTGGAATAGTGTTATAAAAAAAATCAAGAGCTACCCTATTTGGCACATGGCTATCTTTGCAATCATATGGACAATTTAGCTATCTAGGAATGAGCATATCTTTAAAGGTAAGTTTGTTGACATTTATCAAATTTTTTATGTTATTAAGTTACGAATTGGCTAGTGAGCAAAGACTAAGCGGACTTTGGAAAATCTTTCCTTTTTGGATGTTGTGAAAAAACCTTCACGTGCTAAGGTAACAAAGATGCTAAAAAAAGACAAACAGAAGATTGATTAGGTTAAGCCTTGAAGTGGATGCATGAAATTTAATGTAGATAGAGCTATAAGAGGTTGTTTGGGTGAAGCCGAAATTAGTGGTGTTTTGAAAGACAGTAAAGGAAACATAAAGATTCTTTCTCCAAATCTATGGGAATTACGAATTCAAATCTAGTTGAGATCGTTGCTATTAAGGAAGTTTTTCTTCTTTTTACTACTTCTTCTTAGGCTTGCACTCATGAGCTCATTGTTGAATTGGATGCATCTAATGCTGTCAAGTGGCCGAATATAACGCATCTACTGCTCCATAGAGGATGAGAAACAATTTGTGTTTGGTGAATAGTTTGAAGTATAGTCTTCTTAAATGGATAGTGTTTTATAGCCAACCAACTTGATGATCGTTTGGCTAAAAGACGAGGTTGAGCACTTGAATGATCTTGCTTAGGTTTTTCTGTTATGTTTTTTGCATGTCTTCATTTTGCTAAACTTTTTCTTTTTTCCATTCCTGATGGCTTTTTTGGCATTTTTTTTGTGGCTGAATGGCTCTTTGTTTTGTTGGCTGCTATTTTATTTATGAGTAGTTTATGTTTTTCTGTGCTGTTGTTTAGTTGTGAGGAGCTATTTTGAGCCATCTCATATCCTTTGATTATGTTTCCTTGTGGGTTTACACTGTTTCAGTGTGAATCCTATTTTAATAAAGTCTTGCTTTTCAAAAAACAAAAATGGGTGGCAGTGAAAGGAGTACCAACCCATGTTTGGAGCTATGAAACATTTTAAAACACTTCCAACTATTAGGGTGAGTTAGTTTTGGTTGAGGATTGTACATTGAGCAAAAGAGTTACAGTTAATGAGTGTTACCGATCTCAACTTATGAGAATGAAAGAATAGAGGAGATTATGGAACTTAAAGTTGAGGGAAGGGTTTATAAGCTTCTTACAAATAAAATACAATTAATAGCGAAAGACATGCAGGTAGATAAAAAGAACTCCATAAATAACACCGAAAATTCACTATGGGAGATATCAAGCTGAAAAAATTAAAGGGCACTAGAAATGAGGAGGAAAAAGGAGTTGATATATCTATTATGAATGAAGTGGAGATGGTTGAATTGGTAGAACTCGATTGTACGAGAAAGCAAGGAAAGGCG